TCCAAGAGCCCTCTAGAAAGTGACTGATGTGTTCTAACGTCCATGGTTCAGCGGTGACTCGGTTGCATTACATACCGTATCGATCATCAAAACTTTGCCCGTTCGAGTCCAAATTTTTTTGGTAGCAAGGTGAAAAAAGAGGAGCGGGGGGGGAGGACCCTTAAGGAAACATGGTCGATTGTTACAAACACGTACCTAGATACCTAGATACGGTTGCTGATGAAAAAAATTTCATTGGTGACTGTTCAAGCAAAAAAGACTACAAACATGTGAGAAGAATCGATTTTTTTGGGGGAGGTTGTCAAATTTAGCACGACGGTACACGTGTCGACATATAACTTATCAGTTGCAATTTGTTTACTTCTTTTAGTACGCTTTATTTTGTTAGTTCATTTAAGTTACATTTATAAAAAAAGCAGGTTAATCAATGAGAGGTGTACTTTTCTAATGACCTGACTCTTCTTGGTGCATTATCATGGAAAAGATTTGAGTGAACACGAAAGTTTGTGTTAAGAGTTTAAACTATCCGCTGTCTGCATTCTATTTCATCTAAATAATATTTAAATCTGCGAGAAGAATCTGCATCCTAGTACTTCTTCCAAAAAAATAACTTTATTCCCGAACATTTGAGAAACATGAGTTATTAAATGTAAGTGAACCATGTGAATCAGAATATGTTTAGACTGTCGTCTTTTGTCACATTATATGTAAGAGTAGGATTCGATGAACATTTTTATTTGATTCTAGAAGAATAGCAATGACTGATAACACATTACAAGCAATTTATTATAAACGTGGTGAATTATCAATTTTGGATCAGTTGAAATTACCAGAATTAAGTATTTATATTCCAATAACTACTGTTGCAGATGCGTGGAAAGCAATACATACAATGTCAATAAGAGGTAAAATAGACAGTTTGTTTATTAGAGAGAGTTTGTGTCAAGTTCTAAATGTCAACACATTATTAACCTTCACATATGTTTTACTACCCTATTATATGTTGTTTTAGGTGCACCAGCAATTGCTGTTTGTGGTTTATTAAGTGTTGCCATTGAACTTTATAACAATAAAGGAAAATTTGAGAGTATAGATGAGATAAAAAAATTTATTCGCGAACAATTGAACTATTTGGTAACAGCTCGTCCAACAGCTGTAAATATGGCCGATGCAGCACGAACAATTACAAATTACATAGAATCAATTGAAACGGAAAAACAAATCAAAACAATTGATTTGTATATTGAACATGTATTGGAATATATGGAAACATTTTTGAAGAAAGATATTGAAGATAATTTATTGATTGGAAAGCACGGCGCTGAAATGATTAAATCGTTATCGAACAATGATCCTATAAAAAAATTATCGATTCTCACTCATTGTAACACTGGTTCACTTGCCACATCCGGATTTGGTACGGCACTTGGGGTTCGTTATTTGTTTTTTATGTAATTGCCTTCTAGACATATTTCAATTTAGTCTTTTAGTTTTTTTCTAGGTTATAAGACAGTTGAAACAGAATGATCATTTAAATTTAGCCTATTTTACTGAAACTCGACCTTATAATCAAGGTTCACGTTTGACAGCCTATGAACTGATTCATGACGATATTCCTCATACTATGATTTGTGATTCAATGGCTGGATTATTAATGCGTACACGTGCAATACACGCTGTGGTAGTTGGAGTACGTATCTTCAACGTTTTAACATTATTTTCTTTTAGTGGTACTTTCTTCTTCTGTAGGCCGATAGAATTACAGCAAATGGTGATACTGCAAATAAAATTGGAACATATCAATTGGCTGTACTTGCAAAGTTTCACAATATACCGTTTTATATTGCCGCACCAACAACAAGTATTGATTTTACAAAACAAAATGGAGATGAAATAGTGATAGAAGAAAGGCCAGTAAATGAGATGACAACAATCAAAGGAGTGTCAATTGCAGCCCAAGGTTTGTACAATTTCTTCTCTGAGCTGAAAACGTTTGCACGTTGTCATATCCTTCATTGTTTTATATATGACGTCAGTGCGACTATTGATTCAAAATAATATGAATTACTTTTTCACACACGACAAGTGGCGCTTTATTAATCATTTTCTTCTCCTTTTGCTATAGGTGTTCAATGCTGGAATCCTGCATTCGATATTACACCCTCTGAGTTGATAACTGGTATTATAACAGAATATGGCGTATTTAAATCAAATGAATTGAAGGAAAAATTATTATCGATTATGTCAAAACAACCGGAAGGAACAGTTGGATAGATACAGATTTCTACAGATCAGATTTCACGTTTTGTTGAAATTGTATTTTCTAGTGAATTTTTCATCCGAGTGTATTTCTTTTTTTCTGTTATGAGTTGATATTTGAGCTGAATACTCAGTTTATACTGACTGTGATTTGCTAATAAAAATCCAAACTCAATTTTATATAATCTTATAAACTAAAAGATCTATATCAATTCCTTAAACTATGACACGATAAGTGAAGTCTTAATGCACCATATTTTTACTAATTCAGATCAATACAAACTATAAATAATGGTAGAAGAATGTACATCTACAATGGAAATAAATAGCGATAAAATACCCACGTCAAATATAATTAATGAAGGTTCAACAATTATAATCTATTTGGGTTATAATAATTTACATGTACTTAAAGTAAAACAAAATGAAACATTTCAAATGAAATTTGGTGCATTAAAACATAATGATATTATCGGAAAACGATATGGAAGTAAAATTATGTGTTCGAAAGGTTACATACATGTGTTAGCACCTGAACCTGGTAATATAATCATTAAATATATATTTTGTATGCTATTTAGCGTTTTATTTTTGTTTAGAATTATGGACTTTAGCTTTACCACATCGTACACAAATACTTTACATGCCAGATATTAGCCTTGTAATATTAGAATTGGACATTAAACCAGGTTCTATTGTGATAGAAGCAGGTAAATACGAACAAGAATACTGCTCTTCTAGCGAGATTGTGTTATTATGTGATTAATTATAATTCTTTTGAAAGTCAATTAAGAAGGACCCGCTACAGTGAGAAGAAGAACTTTTTTAATTTATATCTGATTTTAACCAAAACTTTCAGCAAACATACGTAATATCAAATCATGCTTGCAACAATTTTCGATTCTTTATTTACAACCCTTTCCGAAATTCTACAACATCGCACACTATGCAAAGAATTTTTTCAGATTATGAGATTGAAATATCAAGATGGTTATAAATCCCACTTAACATCCAATCTCATCAAATAGAAGTAGTGAATTTTTGATTTTTATCTTTTTATATTTTATATTGAAATACAAAAAGTTAAAAACTGTGGAAATTCATAAAACATTTTCAGAAAATCTGAGTTTTTGAAATAACTAGAGACTAATTTAAGACTCTACTCTTGTTCTTTATACGGTAGTGTAGTTTGTCAAAACCAGTCGAATGCAAAACTGTGGAATCTTCTAGTGTATGTTTTTAGAGAGTTTGAAATCTATTTTTGTCTTAACTACCGACTTGGACTCTGAACGATTCCTCTCAAGAGTATTAATACTTATGAGATCTTTTTTAAATTTAGGTACTGGTAGTGGATCCCTGTCACATTCCATTATACGATCAATCAAGCCAAATGGACACTTACACACATTTGAATTTCATGAATTAAGATCAAATATAGCCAAAACGGAATTCGAGGTAAACTATTACGGTAAGAATTTTTCTTTTCGACTTTCGTTTATAAAATAGCGACTCATGGCTGTTCAGAAGGCTGTTCAGAAACGTATTTTTGCCTAGGAATAGAAAAATGAAGGTTAAAATAAGCCAGAGAAAATATATGCTTTCTATTCATTATTTATCTCTACTACAATTATCATTTTCTTTATTTCTTTTACTATTAAGTCACTGATTCACATTGGTGATATTCTTTTTGTTTATTTTTGGTCTATACCAAAGTGAGCAAAAGAGCAAAAAAAATTCATTGTTTCATAGTACGTGTAGTATAACAGTTAAATAGGATGCATACAATATCATAACTGTAAAAAAAGAAATAATCGCTGATCATCTGTTTTTTGAGAGTGAATCGTCTTTTTGAATCATGTTTCGTTGAGATAGAATTCAATAGTCTTTTTTAAGCCAAAACAGTGCAGACAACAGATGACGCTTCAATAGAATATGATGATTTAAAAACTTTTCTCCAAAAAACATTTTCATGTTAATAAAACGAAAGTCGATGTATACAGGTAGATTCTACACTTCTGGCTATATACATGTCTATTTATCTCGAAAAGAATTCTTATTCTGATGTTTCTTCGCATTTTCAAAGGAGCACGGACTTGCTGATTTTGTCACAGCGTATCATCGTGACGTACTACGAGATGGATTTCTTCATGAAAATATAGCTGATGCTGTATTTCTTGATTTACCTGCGCCGTGGGACGCTATTGAACATGTTATTAAAGTTATGAAAAAAACAGGTAATTTTTCTTCAATATTAAATAAGATAAGATATTGTTTTATTTATGGCACAAATTAGGTGGACGTTTATGTACATTCTCACCGTGTATTGAACAAGTTCAACGTACATGTCAACGCTTAAGAGCTTGCGGTTTTGAAGAAATATCAACAATTGAATGTTTACGTCGCACACATGAATTTAAATATCAACATATGCCAAAAATTCGATTTACTAGTGAACAAGAACAAAAAGAAGAAAATGAGGAGGAAGAAACGAAATCACCCAGTAAAAGGCATTGTAATGAGGCAAATAATGAAGAAAAGAATGGTATGAAAGTCGACTTGGATGGATCACAAAAACCAAAAGATATTGTACAAATGATTACAGCAGTGGGTCCGCCATCAATGGCTGGTCATACAGGATTCTTGACGTTTTCTTACATTCAACAACTTAGTTGACATATTTATTTGTTTCATTTCTTTCTTATACACCAAGAAGAATAAAAATAATTATGAGATTACTATTTGTAAACATTTGTTATTAAAATATTATTAAAGTATTTGATTATTACAGTTTTTCCAAAGATGAGTTTTGAGCCAGAGCCAAGCAAGTACTGAGTGGTCTAAAATCTTTCCAATATAGACATAACTCAAACCATTTGCTTATCTCTGCTGATATTGATCTTAAAGTCATCGCTGATGTATTTTTAAACAAAACCTTTAATTTTAGTCCAAAGTTTGTACTCGGTACTCGACTCCTTCCTACTCAAGAAATCTCATACTTGTTCAATTCTGTTAAGATGTATTCGCTTCTAAGAGAATATTTGACCGATAGTCAGTTATACTAAATCGAGAAACACCTGGGCGTGTGATTTCTAGTACCCGTGGTAAAAAAATTTGGACTCGAATGGACAAAGTTTTGATGATCGATACGATATGTAATGCAACCGAGTCGACACGTGTACCGTCGTGCTAAATTTGACAACCTCCTCCAAAAAAATCGACTCCTCACATGTTTGTAGTCTTTTTTGCTTGAACAGTCACCAATGAAATTTTTTTCATCAGTAACCGTATCTAGGTACGTGTTTGTAACAATCGAACATGTTTCCTTAAGGGTCCTCCCCCCTCCCCCCCGCTCCTCTTTTTTCACCTTGCTGCCAAAAAAAAGTTGGACTCGAATGGACAAAGTTTTGATGATCGATACGGTATGTAATGCAACTGAGTCACCGCTGAACCATGGACGTTAGAACACATCAGTCACTTTCTAGAGGACTCTTGGG